AATCGCAATTTTCTTAGAAACACATCTAACCCCCCTTTTAACCATTATTTAACATTAAATATATTTTCCCCTTTTCTAAAAAATTAAAAAAACGATATGTTTTTAGCAAATTCCCCTTACATATATTATTCAGAAAAAACAGAAACTGATACACATATGAAAAAATTTTGGGACACACCTTTTTTTTCATGGCAGTCGCAAAAAATTACTAAAAATTGCAAACTCTTTTATTGAGCCTGTACACGGGGGGAAATGAAAAAAGTGAACATCCCTCACGCCTAACACTCTGGGGATGTTTCAAAATTCAAATTTTATATTTCACTTAAATGTTAATTTTGCTTAACCGGCTAGGGGGGGGATTAACTTGCCTTTCCCTACCGCCCCATAACAGGCTAAATAAAACCGAGCCTGCAACATTTTCAATTTTGCCGTGTTGGGCTTTCTTTAGGGATTCTGTATTTATCTGTTTGATGGTTGTAAAATCTTTAAAATAGAGAAAATAAGAATCCCTAAAGAAAGCCCAACACGGCAAAATTGAAAATGTTGCAGGCTCGATTTGAGCCTATTCATGGACGGTACTGTCAATTATACGCCCCCTAGCACCGGCTTAAGCAGAATTCAACATTTAACATGAACTGGTACAATTTTGAATTTTGAAACATCCGCAGATGTGTTCATATGGCGGTCATCATGGAACCTTAAATGTGACACTTTCGTTTCATTCCATGAAAAGCGGCATATGTTCCCCAAGTAAAAAAATGCGTATGCCCTAAACGAAAAAAAACAATGGGTGGAACTAAATTAAATGAAATTTTGAAAGGGGATCAGAGGTTATGAAGCCTGCATATCACAGATAAGACGTCAAAAGACAAAATTAAAAAGCAGGCCACATATCCTAAGATAGATAAATACAGAATCCCTAAAGAAAGCCCAACACGGCAAAATTGAAAATGTTGCAGGCTCGGTTTGATTGAGCCTGTTCATGGACGGTATTGGAAAGTGCAAGCCACCGTCCACGCCCCCTAGCACCAGCTTAAGCAGAATTCAACATTTAAACATGAAATAGTAAAATTTTGAATTTAGAAACATCCACAGATGTGTTCATACGGCGGTGATCATGGAACCTTCAATGTGACACTTCCGTGCCATTCCATGAAAAGCGGCGTATGGTCCCCAAGTAATAAAAAGCGTGTGCCCTAAACGATAAAACAATGGGCGGAACTAAATAAAATGGAATTTTGAAAGGGGATCAGAGGTTATGAAGCCTGCATATCACAGATAAGACGTCAAAAGACAAATTTAAAAAGCAGGCCACATATCCTAAGGGTGATTCAACAGTATTCAAGTGAGGAATACTGGAACCACCCAACAAGAAAATAGCCGAATAGAAAGAACTAAAATACCACAAGCACAACAATAATGTCGTGCTGAACGATCTATAAGGATCGGAAATATAACATCCCTGATTGAATGTACGGGGCGACTTTTTACAGCCTTCATACGGCACAAACAACGCTGATGTGGCGATAAAATAGAGAAAATAAGAATCCCTAAAGAAAGCCCAACACGGCAAAATTAAAAATGATGCAGGCTCGGTTTGATAACCGCCGTATGAACACATCTGCGGATGTTTCTAAATCCAAAATTTTACCAGTTCATGTTTAAATGTTGAATTCTGCTTAAGCCGGTGCTAGGGGGCGTAGACGGTAACTTGCACTTTCCAGTACCGTCCATGAACAGGCTCAATCAAACCGAGCCTGCAACATTTTCAATTTTGTCGTGTTGGGCTTTCTTTAGGGATTTTGTATTTATCTATATTTGATTGAGCCTGTTCATGGACGGTACTGTAAAGTGCAAACTACCGCCCACGCCCCCTAGCACCGGCTTAAGCGGAATTTGAATTTTGAAACATCCGTAGAAAATCAATGATCTTTGGAACTTTTGAAATCAATGAAAAATGCAGAAATGGCATTATTAGCAGTAAGGCAAGTTTGATGGAAATCAGCATAAAAGCATAAACTAGAAATGTGTCCATAGGACACGGGTGCCCCCACCGCGCCACTGTTCTGTCAATCTTTTTACTAAGTCAAGGGAAATAACTCTACAAATACTGGATAAATCCACAAGCAAAACCCCAGGTGCAAATCTAAAATATGCTGAGCAACCTGCCTATAAGGTTAAATGACTATGTCAAATCCTTTTTGAGAAACTTGCGACACAAGTTGAAAATTGCAAAAATTTTCTAAGTGAAGGGCAATAACTCTAAAAATACTAAATAAATCCAGACGAAAATACCTGGTGCACAACTGCACATGCTAATCAATATTCCTGTAAAGTTACTAGGTCAAATACTTTTTGAGTTACCTGTGACACATGTTGAAAATTGCCAAATTTTAACTCAAGGGCAATAACTCTGAAAATACTAAAAATATCCAGACGAAAATACCCAGGTGCACAACTACACATGCTGATCAACATTCCTGTAAAGTTTCATGACTCTAGGTCAAATACTTTTTGAGTTACATGCGACACAAGTTGAAAATTGCAAAAGTTTACTAAGTCAAAGGCAATAACTCTGAAAATACTAAGAATATCCAGACGAAAATACCCAGGTGCACAACTACACATGCTGATCAACATTCCTATAAAGTTTCATGACTCTAGGTCAAATACTTTTTGAGTTACATGCGACACAAGTTGAAAATTGCAAAATTTTACTAAGTCAAGGGCAATAACTCTGAAAATAATAAAAATTTCCAAACGAAAATACCCAGGTGCACATCTACACATGCTGATCAACATTCCTGTAAAGTTTAATGACTCTAGGTCAAATACTTTTTGAGTTACATGCGACACAAGTTCAAAATTGCAAAATTTTACTAAGTCAAGGGCAATAACTCTGAAAATACTTAAAATATCCAAACGAAAATACCCAGGTGCACAACTACACATGCTGATCAACATTCCTGTAAAGTTTAATGACTCTAGGTCAAATACTTTTTGAGTAACATGCGACACAAGTTGAAAATTGCAAAATTTAACTAAGTCAAGGGCAATAACTCTGAAAATACTAAAAATATCCAGACGAAAATACCCAGGTGCACAACTACACATGCTGATCAACATTCCTGTAAAGTTTCATGACTCTAGGTCAAATACTTTTTGAGTTACGTGCGACACAAAAGTGAACGGACGGACGGAAGGACGGGCGGACGGACGGACAAGGGTAAATCTAAATGCCCGCCACTAACGTGGGGGCACAACAAACATTAAAACATTACAGTTGGCGCCAATTATTATATAATAATTATAACGAGACATTTACTGTACACGTTGACGACAACATGGAGCTCTATAAATCAAACAAATCAATTTTTATTTGGCTGTCGAATATAAATTAAAAGAGTCTAAAATGAGAGATTCCAATCCACCATATCTCATTTTATTGAACTTAATAATAATGATTATGTACACGTAAACAGGCGAGGCTTGTTTAAAAAACAACAGTATATATCATTAAATAGTAAACATTTGTTCGTGAAGAAGCTACATTTCATTTGTTTGCTATTGATTAGTGCATACGTCATTGTACGTTATTCATTTATTTCAATATATTTTTTCTTACAATTAGCATTTACAACATGTGATTTCTAAAGCACAGCGAAACAATCTGTTTTTATAATACGATATGTTGGTATCAATACTGGCAGAGATATGAGCTGGAAACTTATGATGAACTCCGAGTCACTGTTTTAAGGTATGACCATCCTAATGCAATACCTCCGTGTTGAAGGGTATTCAAATTGGCTAGTACTACTGTTAAATACATTGAAACTTCGGATCGTGGGTTCCAATCCCAGAAGATCTAACTTTTTCCCCTTTTTATATAATTATTTATGTATCTCTTATATCCCTTTGGGTAAAAAAAGTGTTTAATTTTTATAATTTAATTAATATAGGTATTTTGCGGCTAAATAATGCAAAATTTTATAACAAATATGGTACATGATATTTTTAAAGTGCAATAAAAATCAAAACTTGACGATAAAAGCATTTTACAATTTACAAGATCAACTACTATACATGTGAAAAAAATTAGAAAAATTTTGATAACAAGCACTCATTTAAGTAAATTGTAGGGATTATTTTAATTAGGCTCTGAAAGTAGAACATTGGTCAAAAATGTGTTAAAATAGGTGGGGTAGGGTAACATTTTTAAACATATTTCATAAATTACGAGTAGAAACAATCATTTGCTTATGTGGATTGTTAGCTAAATCTTACATTTTGTTTCTCACCAAAAATTAATGGAAAAAAACGTTTTTATAAGGATGATATTGCAAATTATTTAAAGGTTCCTTATTTCTGAAAAGGGACCCTTCTTACATCAAAGATTAAATTCAGAGAAATGGCCATAACTCGATTTCGTAAGGTACAGTTTGTTAAACTTTTGCATACAAGTGTCCTTTAAGGTATATATCTGACCTATGGATGGTCATACCTTAAAACGTGTAGTATAGTATATAATATAGTTTAATATAACGACAAACCATATATACAATATATAAACAATAATGTTTCAAAACGATTGTATCAAATATTAACACAAACTATATATAAAGTATATATAAACATAAGAAATAAACGAAATACTACCTTTATATTTTTGTACATCATATGTAAAGCAATGTAAAATGGCGTCATTGTGATGGCAACTGGTGAACATAACACCTGTAAGCGATCCGAAAGGCTCTTAATGTATAATCATGACGCTACTTCTTATGTGTTATTTGAAATTGCAAATAATTTCCTTCACAAAAAAAACACGAGCGTCATGGTATAAATTTGATAATTACTAACAAAAATTGTAAGTTGAAAATATTTTTTTAAATTTTTCTGGAACATTTAGAATTAACCTGATTAAATCTTGAATCAGAAAGATTTACATTTACAGTATTTCTATAGTTTCAGTCTTGTTTGTTGTTGGCAACTTGTTACTATCATCTACCTAAAGAACTGAGCCATGTTTTGTCGGAGCTTAATTGCGATTGATTCCTACAATGGAAAGGAAACGCTGCCTTTAGAATAGAAAACAACCCTTCTAAAAATTCGTTGTTACAAAAACAATAGACAAACGGGTTCAAAGCTGAACATAAAAGATAGGACTTTAACAGCAATTGAAAAACTGTTTTCCCAGCTGTCGAGAGTTTGTTGTAATATGCAGGATTACTAAGACGTAAGCAGACGACACTTAAACATGGAAGGTAGCAAATTTCAAATAACAGTGTAAGAATGATCATCATAAATGTTATCTTCTGTATCCGGTTTGCCGACGTCTCTCTCATTTTCCCTTCCTTTTGACACAACGATTCCTTCCGGCGCTTTGCCAAAGAGTTTATGACGAGACTATAGAGCACTATGAGGGCCAGAAATATTACTATAATTGACGAAATATATTGCACGGACGTCACGACAGAAAATGGAAATGATAATTGTTCCATTGCATCATCCATTAAACAAGACTTTCCGTCAATCAGAACATCTAGACCTTCCACAGATGTATTAAATCTGTTACCGTCGGTAATATTCTGTATTGCAAATAACGGAATAGTTTGTGTTCCGTAGACGAAAAACATTGGTAACGCAATAGCAACCGATATTATAATATTCACATAACACATGCGCCTTGATGTTGTATCTGTGAATTTTGGTTTCCAAGGCTTGCAGACTAGTCTGTAACGTTCAAAAGCAATTGCTAGTAGTGTAAGACTTGATATATTATTCACACTGTAGGCAAACCACCGAAAAGACTTGCACAACCATCTTAAATCCAAATCGAAAAAGTGTGTCATTATCACAAGTTCTGTTGGCATGACAACCGCGCATGTTAGAAAATCACATATCGCCATCGTTATAAGAAATTGTCTAGCAATAGCCTTCTTTAAGCGCCGAGTATATACAAGCAAAGTTAATATATTACCAGGTATTCCAATAACCATTAAGATTATTATCAATGTAAATGATGGTAAAAATATTTCAAACTGTTTATCATTGGCCTTTGTAATAACTGTATAGCGGATATCTTGATAATCTTGATGGACCAAAGCATCATACGATACAGCTCTGAGACTGTTATTCGACATGATTACTTTCAGCGAATAGTTTTCAAAAGAATATTAAAATTAACGTAGTCATGAACTTGATTTAACGTCGTATCTCTATCAAACTGCCACTGCCTCGAAAGTTAGCCTGTTGTTAGCTATTACATGTTCCTTGAAGTAATGTTGCGACTGGCGAAACTCAACTGGAATCTCTCCGGTATTAATTTTTTTGGTAGCCTTTCTTTTCTGAAATGTAAATTGGATAAATGTAATATTTTAAAAAATGAGATCTTAGGAGATTATCATCTATTCGATTATTGTCTTAAAATAGAACAATCATATTGTTTGATCACAATGAAAATTGCTATTTAAGAATGCATCAATAATATTAGCAATAACAGATGCATGGTTATCTAAAAGATATCATGGTATAGGCATTTTGTGTGTAACATTTAAAGTTATTGAGCTAAATTTTATAATGTGTTTGATAAATCATGTTAAGTGTATTAAGTGTGAAGGAAACCTGAATATTGACATTATCGAGCATAAAAAGATATTCAGATAGTGTTTTTCTAACAGATAATGTTGCGTTCTGCTAAATCCGGAGCAAGGAGGCGCGGACCGCACCTCTCTTGTTCATGGACAGCCTCAATCAAACCGAGCATGCAACATTTTTAAAAAGATTTTCATTTTTTTTCAATACACAATTAGTATTCAAATTGACATTCTTATGGTTGCTGTTTTCGTTTCCATAATTGGCGCTGTATTAAAATTCGTAAGTTACGCGGAACCATCAAAATGTACTTAGGGGAAATAACCTGAACTTGTTACACAATATGGAATTTAAACAAACACAATTGTAGTAAAACAACTGATGACAAACTAAAACAATCTGGATAAAGTGTGATCCATCGAAAGCATTAATCACAACAAAATTACATTAAAATTGAATACTCGGTTTGATTGAGTATGTACATGAGGGATAATGATAAAGTGCAACTTCCCTCACGCCCCCAAACACCGAGAGCCAGCTTAGTAGAAAAAGGTAAACGATAAATATAATGTCATGCAAAACAAGAAGAATGGTAAAATTTACGAATATAAATGCCACAATTAACATCCAAACACACTATAAACTTGTATGAAAGCTATTATACCAGCGACAAGATAATAATCAAAGCTTTTATGCTTGAAAAATATGTGATTCTGTAATACAATCTTTTAATCACCATACAATATAAAGTTTTATTATGACTATGAGTAACAATGTGAAGTTAGAGATTTAAGCGGAAAAGTCAATTGTTAAGGCTTTTTTAAAAGGAAAAGAAAGTAAAAACTTCACCACATCAAGTAATGAATTTTGTCAATAAGAAAATATTTGATATTTCGAGACAATTAGTTAACACCTACAATATATTTTTGCAGACTTTGAATTAAATTATTGACTGTGAAGTAATGAACTTTGAAACATTTTACGACAGCCGCCAACACAAGAACAATCAACTAGAAATAAAATGTTGAAATCAATAACATAAACACTAATATAAAAACAATAATATAAACACTGATGTAAAATACAACAATATAAACACTGATATAAAAAAACAATAAAGTAAATTCTGATATAAATTATAATAATGTAAACACTGATATAAAGTACAATAATATAAACAAAGATGTAAAATAACAATAATATAAACACTGATATAAAAACCAATGGTATAAACACTGAAATAAAATATAATGATATAAACACTGATATAAAATACAATAATATTAACCATGATATAATACCCAATAATATAAACACTGATATAAAATACAATACTGTTAATACTGATATAAAATACAAAAATATAAACATTGATATAAAATACAATAATGTAACTTCGTTGACTTAATTGTGTGATGCTCATAAGATAAAGGTGTTTCTTAATTTACCACAACTTAATTTAACAGAATATTTGAAACGAAATTCTATTCAATTAATAATACAATAAAGGTATTATTAAAAGCTGCAAGCCGATCAAATAAGGACTTATATTCTTAAATGAGTAAACAGCTTACATGCGTTTGCTTATTTTTGTTTAAAAGAAATATAATTGTACGTATAAAACTGTTTTTATTAAGAGGCATATAAGTTACTGGACCATTTAGCAGACGAAATATTTGAATTGAATAAAGTTCCTAACTTAAACCTGATAGAGTCATTTTTCCACTTTCTATTGAGAGAATGATTTCAAAGAATCTTTTTCTTTCATTTTGAATGGTAACCAAACATTATAAATTTGAATATATTCAGTTATATGAAACAATACATTATCTCATGATTACAAGTCATGTTCAATTACTATAATGGCATAAGTAAAGACAATTCAATAATAGTTGATTTCTGTGTAGTTCATTGTGGTGACAATCATTACGGTTAAGCAATTTTGTCACATATTTGTGTCAGTAATTGATAAATCAGGATATTGAGTAATTACAGCCATCAAGTGATATTATGTTCGATAAATATTGAAAATTGAAAAAGTAGGCCAAGTTGCACTAGTGAAATGCTATTTCAAGAGCAAGTCAATGCTTAATGGGAGATACTACATTTTATTGTAAACTGCGGTTAAAATTCCTTCGTTGTTAAATGCATAGGTGCTATGACCTTATAAGTTGTCACTGATCATATTCTTTTTCTAATCTACTTAATAAATAGAGGATATTCAAGTTTTTTCTATAAATACACGGTTTATGTTCATCGAGTGGTATGAAAATAAATATTTCGTGAGTGGCGGCAGTCACGAGTGAAATACGGTAATTTTCATGCCACAAGATGAAAAAAAATCATGTAGTTATAGAAAAAAACTTGAATTTTCTATTTATTATATACATTTTTCTCTTTTTTGACATTAAAATTTGAAAAACGTTCCCTTAAGTTTTGTGTACTGGCAGAATTTAAAAGAAAGTAGTCCGGCAAGACACCAGTGAAAATACGGAAAATATGTTTCACTGCAGTGAAAAATAATTTTTTTCAGTGATAAATACGCATTTTATTTTATCAATATTTCTCAATAAGTATATAATAAAGAGAAAAATGGAATCCTAAAAGAACGCATAAAAGAACAATATTGAAAATTTTGCAGGCTCGGTTTGATTGAGCCTGTTCATGGACGGTGCTGGAATGTGCAAGTTACCGTTCACACACCTTAGCACCGGCTTTAGCAGAATTCAATATTTAAAATGAAAAGAAGTTTACTTAGTTTTCATAAACTTTTCAGAAAATTGAAAAGCTTTCAATTATTGAATCTATATTGTTGTCCAGTTAACAAACGTTTATTAAATGTAATATTGTACGCACACGACGGCAATGGTTTTAAAGTTTTACCAAAACATATGAGGTTCATTTCAAGGCTATAAATATATGTAGTAACTAGACCAAAAGGTATTTCATTATGTGCAGTCAGTCCTAATGATTTTCTCATAGAATTATACCAAATGTAGATGTAACAGTTTAACAGCTCCTTTATGTTTATTTAAATGTATGTTCATGTATACGTGCGCATGGCTATTTATGAACACCATACATATTTACAGTAATTTCTGTTATCTAAGGAACGTCACCATAATTGTATTTTGGTAGAAAGCTGAATAGTTCTGTACTGTTATGTTTGTATAGACTTTAGTGACAAATATCATTTAAAGGTACTAGTAAAGTAACGATTATATACATGTATTTCATTTCTGAGAAATCCAGCAATGATTTCTTGCTACCCTCACTTAAAACGCATATTAGATATTTTGTTTTGGAACATTTTTATTCACTATACGTATGTGTTAAAGACAATCATAGTTGCAAACTCTCTCGAAACATGAACATGACATTCAATGAATATGACAGCAACGTGAGTGTACACATTCCCAAATTGATACAGTATAATTAATTTTTAATTATACCATTAAACCTTTAATTGACGCATTTTTATCTGATTTAGATTCAAGATATTTCATTTATTTATAATTAGTATAACTGTTTATAATAATTCTCTTTTTCCCGTCAATGATCAAAATTTTCTTGTTACGAAAACCGTATTTCCGTTGATACGTTGTCATAAATATCATTAAAATTTTAACAGTAACATTAGACAAACAAAAGCAGGACCACGAAATCGTCATAAGATTAGCTAGGGACGAGCTCGTTATTGCTAAATCGGTTCACGTATTGGGTTAAATATTTTATATATATACAGTAAGAGTTGTCATATGGCGACAGTCTCTCAGTCGCTTCTTGTGATGTTCACCGAACATTTTTTGTTGATGGCAATTGTTATAAAAAGAGGACATTAACGATATCTTTACATTGCTGGTGGGTATGATTATTTAATTTTGTCTATTAGTTTTCTGTGTATCTTTTGTAAATATATTGTAACAGAGGTATATGTATTTAGATCTACGATTGCCTTGATATATACGCAAAATAATTGAGATTATTTAAAGACTATGTATAATTAAAAAAAGAAAAAAAAACAACAAAAAGCAACAACAACAACAGCACGCGCATGAATTTGCATGATTTCTAAGTACATAGTCATGTTAATGATAAGTTATGCTATTTTGACGTTACACGTATACGTATCCTCAGAAATTGTTCAAAATAATACTCAGCAAACATTAGAACATCTTATCATATGATAAGTATTTACATTATATCTGCTGTCCATATATTGTAAATGATTTAGTTTTCTAGAGCACAATTTAACTTAATTTAATGTTTAAAGAAATATTAACCAGACATTACTTAATAGATGCATAGATTCATAGATTTATATATTTATGTTTTTATGATTGTTTTTCATAAACTAAATCATAAACCAAATCAATCTTAGTTACTAATTGCAAAACAACATTTATTAGATAATTTACACAGTAACATATCAATATAAATTGAAAATTGCAAGTGATTCCTTGCTACATTTAAATGTTTCATGGATCTTTCTGCTTAGTGATATTGTATTTCATTTTTGTCTTTGTCCTGTGTTTTCGTCCAATTGGAACATTTCTGACAGTCTACTTCGTATAAACATGTTTACAATAGCATTTATTTAACGGTTCATTTAATCGTCACATCTATCTTGAAATTTGACATAGACAATAATCAGATACTCGTACAAATGAAAGTCTCTAACAGCTACTGTCGATCCAACGTCACTCCTTTTGAACTGTTTAAGTCGTTTCTGTCTTTTTTCTTAATATCGTCT